GAATGGGGGATCAGACCACGGGGGTGGGGGAGGGCTGGGGCAAGGGGAGACGGGGCGGGCCAAGACTTGGACAAGGGGGTCTGAGCACCCCAACCCAGGGCCGCAAAGTGGGGCCCCACCGTGCATGCCTGTGTCTGTGTGTTCACTGTCGTGTGCTTGCGGGTGTGAATGTGTATCCGTGTGTGTCTGCGTGTCTGTACGTGTCCACGTGTCTGTGTGTATGGGTGTCTGAACGTCTGTGTGTATTTGTGTGTTTCTGTGTGTGTTTATGTGTGTATGTATCTTTGTGTGTCCATGTGTCCATGTGTCTGTGTGTCTATGTGTCCGTGTGTCTGCGCATATCTGTGTGTTTCTGTGTGCCTTTATGTGTGTATGTCTTTGTGTGTCTGTGTGTGTCCATGTGTCTGTGAGTCTGGGTGTCTGAACGTGTGTGTATCTGTGTATATTTGTGTGTATATGTGTGTCTGTGCATGTCTGAGTGTCTAGATGTCTGTGTGTCTGTGTATATCTGTGTTTCTGTGTGTCTTTTTTTTTGTTTTGTTTTGTTTTTTGAGTTGGAGTCTCACTCTGCCACCCAGACTGGAGTGCAGTGGCCGCTCCCGGCCACCGCAGCCTCGACCTGCTGGGCTCCAGTGATCCTTCCGCCTCAGCCTTCCAAGTAGCTGGAACGACAGGCACACGCTACCACGCCCGGCTAATTTTTTGATTTATTCTAGAGATGAGGGCTCACCAAGTTGCCCAGGCGGGTCTCGAACCCGCCGGCTCAGGCAATCCACTCACCTCAACCTCCCAAAGCGCTGGGATTACAGGCTGAGCCACCGAGGCCGGTTTCTGTGTGTCTTTATGGGTGCATGTGTCTTTCTGTGTCTGTGTCTGTGTGTCCGTGTGTCTGTGTGTCTGTGTATATCTGTGTGTCTCTGTGTGCCTTTATGTATGTGTCTTTGTGTGTCTGTGTGCCTTTATGTGTGTATGTGACTCTGTGTGTCTGTCTGTGTGCCTGGGTGTCTGAACATGTGTGTCTGTGTATATTTGTGTATATATGTGTCTTTGTGTGCCTGTGTACATCCGTGTGTATGAGTGTCTAAACGTCTGTGTGTCTGTGCATGTCTGTGTGTCTGTGCATGTCTGTGTGTCTGTGTGTAGGGGTGTCTAAATGTCTGTGTGTCTGTGCGTGTCCGTGTGTGCGAGTGAGTGTCCGCGTGTGCCCGTGTACGTCTGCATGTATGTCTGTGTGTGGATGCCAACTGTCCCCTGCCCTCACAGCGCGTGGCAGGGCCACATCCAGGGCCTCAGGGCCACATGGGCGTGGGCAGCCAATGTGAGTGTGAGCCGGGCTCGGTGTCCCCACTGGGCACCCTGGAGGCCGGCAGCCCCGTGGGCCCCACGCCCGCTGGTCCCCTTCCCTCCACACCTGCAGACGCACCTGCCTCCAGCAGATTGGCCGCCATTCCTGGCACAGGGAAGGCCTAAGGGAGGGCTCGCCCTGCGGCAAGGGCTCAGTAGAGACTTGTCTACCGATAGGCACAACCCTTGCCTTGGGACCCCGGCGGGGCTACCGGGCTGTCCTGGGAGCCGGCAAGTTGGCCTGGAATCCACACTCCAGGCATCCGGGTCCAAGGCCCTGCCTCAAAGCTCTGCCCGGAATGCCAGCGTCACTGGCACTCACCCAGCTTTCCCTGCCTGGCATTCAAGTGGCTCCTGGTCACGTGAGCCCTGTTCTAACGACTCCATGGTTCCCAAGTGCCTTTGCAGCGCTGACTTTCTCTGCCCTGAATCAAGGCCCGGCCTCCAAGGCCTGGCACAGGAATCTGGGTGAGTGTGACACACAGGTGTCCTGCTGTCCCTCCAGGACCTGGTCCCAGCTTGGTCACATTTCCCAGGTGAGGCAGGGGGGTCACCTGCGTCCTCCCACGTGCCCATCAGGGGCTCAGTGAAATAACCGCGGAGTCAGCAGCACCTGCCTGACCAGCGAGGGAACCGATGATGAGGGAACAGACAATGGCGTCACCCAGCAGGAGCCAGGGGCTGTGGCAGGACCCTGTCTCTCCTGCTTCTCGTCCCCCGTGCTTTCTTGCCTGGCTCACCTGCGGCATGGGAAGGGTCCCAGCACCTGCTGGGGGTGGGGCGGACTCTTGGCTGCGTACCAGGCGGGCTCTGGCTGGCCTTGGATCACACAGGTGACCACCGCAAACTTGGCTGTCATGGCGCGCACCGTCCACGCGTGGAACAATGACCCCCAAAACCAGGGAACCGACAGACATGATCTGTGCGTCAGGTTCCTCCCCCGGGGGGCTCTGACTGCAGAGAGGAGACCGCAGGGGAGGGCTTCCCGGAGGACTGGTGGTCTGGACGGCGGGATCAGCATGTACAAAGGCCCTGTGGAACAGAGCTGGAGAAGGGTGCAGCGGACAGGTGGAAGCCTGCTGGGGCCTGCTGCAGGGAGAGCTGGCATTCACTCCCTGAACGCCGGGCACGCCCAAGTGCAGAGCTGGCCTTGCATTAAGCTTTATGGGTGTTATGATGACGCCATTGGAAGGATGGGGAAACTGAGGCAACCTGATCTGCCCTCCTTGCGACCACTAGATGACGGGTTCAACCCTGGTCCGTGCGGCCCCCACGGCCACTCTCCCCCACCAATGCTGCAACCATGTGCCAGCGGGCTTCTTTGATCTCACTCTGTTGCCCAGGCTGAAGTGCAGGGGCACGCTCACGGCCACCGCAGCCTCGACCTGCTGGGCTCCGGGAATCCTTCCGCCTCAGCCTCCTGAGTAGCTGGAACTATAAGCGCGCACCCGGCTAACTTTTTGATTTATTGTAGAGACTTATTGTGGGTCTTGCCACGTTGCCCAGGCTGGTCTTGAACCCCTGGACTCAGGCAATCCTCTTGCCTCCGCCTCCCAAAGTGCTGGGATGACAGGCATGAGCCACCACGCCTGGCTCCTTCGTTTTTTTTTTTTTCTTTCTGAGTTGGAGTCTCACTCGGTTGCCCAGACTGGAGTGCAGTGGCCGCTCCCGGCCGCCGCAACCTCAACCTGCTGGGCTCCGGCGATCCTTCCGAGTAGCCGGAACTACAAGTGCACGCTACCACGCCCGGCTAGTTTTTGATTTATTGTAGAGACGAAGTCTCGCCAAGTTGCCCAGGCGGGTCACGAACCCGCGGGCTCAGGCAATCCACC